AAGAGACAGGCAGAGAGGCATAAAGTATCTCTTTGTTTCATTGCTTTGTGATAGCTGGTGGAAGCAAAAAGCAAACCCAAAACTTTCAGCCTGTGCAGTTCTAGAGAGAAAATGTGTGTGTCTGGGGCTGCAGTGAGCAGGGAAGTGGTCCTGCTGGGTGCTTCCTTGCTTCTCTTTTCCACCGACATGGGAATATATCTGTCTACAAGTTCAAGGCGACACTGTCAAAAGCGTTTAAGTTTCAAAAGTGAACTTAGTATATATGAAACAGCTTCTGTCTCCTGTCTCTTAGTGATCAGGATTAATGGGACTCCAGTTAACTACTTAATGTTGTTGCTTGCTCTGCAGTGTGTACAATGGTGTGAAATACGGGTATGTTTTACTTTCTGTTGTTTTAAAATTCATGGCTTTTCTTCATCCAGTGTGCTAAGTCAGGTGCTGTGCTCTAAACAAACCCCATCATTTAGTTTTAGAGGAACCTTGTGTGTGTCAAAATGTGATGAGCTGCAATCTGCCCTCTGCTCTGCTGGTAAATATGTAGTGTGATGCAGCTGTGAGTGGATCCATGGTGCATTTATATTTGCCCAAAGTAAAGCAGAATTTAGGCAAAAAATATTCTTCCATTTATATAGAATCATTTAAGTTGGAACTCTACTACAAGGTAGAGTCCAACTGTTGACCCAGCGCTGCCAAGTACACCATGTAACCATGTCCTTGTCATAGAAGACCAGGTTGATCAAGCAGGACCTGCCTTTCATAAACACTTGCTGACTGAGGCTGCTCACCTGGTTGTCCAAGGAGTGTGTCCAGGCTCCCTTCCATAAGCAATTGGGAAATATGATTCAGACCACAGGATGAACTTCTGAAAAGGTCTCGTGAGCGAGTTTCTCATTAGAGGCTCAACAGAATCAGGAAAAGGATGTCCTGTAATGACAATATCATGCTATATAAATATAGGCTGTGTATCAAAAGCAGAAGATAACAGTGGCATACAGTTGTACACCCAGAAGTTTTGGAGATGAGGAGAATCAGTGTATTCCTTGGCATCGTTTGATAAAGAACCGTAAGCAGGTTTTATAGCAGGCAACAGCCCAAACTCAGAAATACTCCAGAGGTTTATTTGGGTGCTGTAGCTGTGGGCTTGGCTGGGTTTGGGTGTCTTGGCTATCAGAAGGTTCCAGCTGTATGAAATAATCTCAGATAATCAGCAGTTCACCTCCTAGACCATTATTGCCCTGTCTTGGGGCTGTTTTCTGGATTTGTTGAGAGCTTCATGGTGGCAATTACAACCAGATGGTGAGATTACTTGTTCGATGTGTCAAAGGGATCATCTGCCACAGCAACAGAACATGCAGTGCATCTCAGAACAAGAAAATAGGTTTGTGTTCAGGGGGAGGAAGAAAGAGCACATTTGAGGAGCGGTTTCCTCTCTGCTGGGCAGGGTTTGGGATGGGTGGGTATTGGCTCAGGGGAATCAGGAGAGCAACTGGAAACCCAAGCATTGGGGCTCTACCAAGTATGTGAGTTTAAGAGGCCCAATTGATTGTTCCTAACTAGATTTTCAACACAGGATAGCTCCTTTCCTTGCCGTGTTAGCCACTGCTGTTCTTTTCCTTTAGAAATGGAGAGTATTTTCTGATGCTTCGCTCTCCTGCTGTAAAGGGGATATCAGATGCAGATCACCTCCAACCTGTTGGGCTCTTTTATTGCAAAACAGCCTATTACAAGACTTACATATATATTCTGCAGGGCCAGTTACCTTGGCTTTTTAAAAGTGTGAGTAACTGTAATGCTGTCCTTAAACTTTCTTTCCTTCTCTCTTCCCTAAACATGCTTCAGTAATTAATGAGTAGCATGGCTAATTTCTGCTTTATCTGTCTCACAATGTAAGGAGCAAGGTGTGAGCAATCTGCCATCAAATTATCCTATCCTAGCAAACAAGATGGGTCTTTTACCCACTTTTTATTAAATCCAAGCAGAATAGGTTGTTTAAGTACAATTGTAAATAGGACTCTTCCTTACATTCTCATTTAATTTAGTGAGCAGTGTGTGATACCATGACGATAGGGCCTTTTGGGCAGACATTATCTAGAGTTACAGGTCAGAATAAGGGAATGTTGGCAGAGCAGTGTAGGAATCTGGTCATTTTTTATAGCTTTTGTTATAAAGATGCCATATATCATCAACTTCCTGGAATAAATGTTTGTAAAGCAGTATAAGCTCACTCATTAAACAATGTCTTAAAGTATCTTTTTAAGATTCAGAAAAGGGGAGCTATGTCAGCATTTATCTGTGCTTGGTAATGATTTCCCGGTAAAGGAAGAAGAGGAGAAGAAATCCACATGGGGAATTCCTTCTGAGATGGGTGTGCTTAGGCATGTGGGAGTTATCCCATAGCAGCTTCATGGGAAACACAATATTAGTTCTTTGGGGAACTGAGTCTTTGATGTGGAGAGCATTACTGATTGTGCAGGCTCTTTATGTATGGGCTACACTATATATCTAGGGGTTTTTAATACCCTTTGCTTCTTCCTGAACCAATCTCAAAATTCTTACAGAATAAAAGCAAACAAAAAAAGCCTGGAGGAAGTATTTTATGAGCTGTATTACTGCTTTTTATTGCTAGGCCGGTTGATTTTTCTCTACTTGCTAATGTTTTCCAAGTCATGAACGTCCAAGTGAGCTGTGCTTGTGCGTCTCCGTACGCACACCCTCATTCCTTAGTGGGTATGGTGAGAAACCTGCAGTGATTCACAACATACTATCTGCTTTAGCAGTGTTAGCTGTACCTGTGTTGCTTATTGGTTCAAAGGAATAGCTTTATCTGACAAAATATTACAAGTATGGTATTAAAAGCTAAGTTACCAGTGTTCCATAAGAGAATGAAACCACTGTATTGTATTATATGCCTTGGAGAGAGCTGTTACTTGGAGATCAAACCACGATGTCTAGTAGTAGCTGTGTGTTAATGTTGCTTGCTTAACGTAGTTAATAAGCCAACTGTACCTTGGGCTGCGTCAGAAGGAGCATGACCAGCAGGTAGAGCGAGGCAGTTCTACCCCTCTGTTCTGCTCTTGTGAGGCCCCATCTGGAGTACTGTGCCCAGCTCTGGGGCCGCCAAGACAAGAGGGATGTGGAACTGTTGGAACGAGTCCAGAGGAGACCACAGAGGTGACTGGAGGGCTGGACCACCTCTCCTATGGGGACAGGCTGAGAGAGCTGGGCTTGTTCAGCCTGAGGAAGAGAAGGCTCCTGGGAGACCTTAGAGCAGCTTCCAGTGCCTAAAGGGGGCCTACAAGAAATCTGAGAGGTGCTTTTTAAAGGGCAGTAGTGATAGGACAAAGGGGAATGGCTTTGAGCTAGAAGAGGGTAGATTTAGATGAGGTACAAGGAAGAAATCCCTCACTATGAGGATAGTGAGACACTGGAACAGGCTGCCTGGAGAAGCTGTGGCTCCCCAACCCCTGGAATTGTTCAAGGCCAGGCTGGATGGGGCTTTGAGCAGCCTGCTCTAGTGGAAGGTGTCCCTGCCTGTGGCAGGGCTTTGGAACCAGAAGAACTTTAAGATCCTTTCCAACCCAAACCATTCTGTGAGCTATCCAATAGTAACCACCTTTTAAAGTGTCATCCTGTAAGTAATACTAAGGGAATTCTGGAGGGAAGTTCCAGTCTGTGACTGCAAGGGTGGTTATATGGTTAATGAATCCAAAGAGAGTTTGGGTGCTCTTGAGTGGGATTTAATAGTTCAGGTAATTCCTCTTTCAGCCCCAGTAATTTGCCATAAGGATATGATTTGGAAATGTATGACACTACAGTGAAGAAATTCATGCACAACCCTGGTATTTTAAGAGGAACAAGAGGGTGAACTTATTTCTTTCACTAATTTGGTCTATGTTTAAATACACAAATCTGTAGTAAAATGCCTTTTAGCATGCAGTACCCTGTAGTGCTTTGCAAAACAGTCTCCGCATTTCTCACGAGGAACCCATGAGCAGAATGGATAAAAGAGACTCTTAGAAATAAATCTTAAGAAAACATTGTGTAAAAGTGACTTTGAGGTGTTCAGGTGATGCTGTTCCTGTGATAGATTTGTTGTGCAGTGCTTATCTTCCAGTGTTGTACGTTCCCCAGATAATTCACACAATACAGTTGATTTCCCAGCTGGTAACTGGTTTTGCCATTGTTACTTCTGTGCTTGTAATTGCACTTCGAACTCAGCAGATTGGCTCAGGCTGTGAGATTCCCTCATTGCAGATGCTTTCCCAGCAAGAGGAGCACAGAATCTCCTCTATCTGGTAAAACAGGAGGCGGCAGTTGGTGTGTCGTGCTCGCGTTCGGTGGTGTGTGCGTGGCCACAGCCTTTCCTGGTGTGGTAACCAAATGATGGCCTAAGGTGCTCTGGTGACTTTGATTTAGCTGCTAAAATCTCCCACACAGCATTGAATAAGCTGAAGCCCAGGGCTGCTTCTCCTTTTGACATTCAATCCATTTTAACTGCTCTTTCCAGGTGTGCTTAGTAGACCAGATTCATCCCCCAGGATGGAGGTACGGAGTAGATTTTGCCCCAGAGAAGAAAATCAGCAGGTGACCCAGAAGGGTTTGACCAAGGCTTGCTAGTGGGTTTGGGCTTCATCTGCTGGCTGTCACCTCCCATCATCTACTTTTGATGCTTTTGCTCCCTATGAATGCCCTTATGACAAGGTACTTTAAAAGTAGTCTGATGAAGTCTGTCCAAGAGGGGCTGTGTTTAAGATGGGTTCAGAGGACTTAAAGCCATCTTAGAGGTTTGGGAAATGGTGATGGACGGCAGATAAACGGCTTTGGGAATAAACCAAATAGGAAATACAGCCCAGCGATGCATGCCTCCTATGTGGCTAGCAAGATAGAGGATGGTGTTTCCACCCTCCTTGGTGAAGTTGTGATGCCAGTTTGGGTGTTGGGACCCCCAAGTAGCTGTGCTGTCTCTTGCCCCTGGTGACGTCTCCTTTCCTCTTTTCCAGGAGCTGAGCATCGTGACGTGCCCTGCTCCTTCCTGCTTGGTGTGGGAACGACTTGAAGGACATCTTGGAGCCGCCTGTACTGCTTCATGCAGTTAAAGTAAGGTTAAATGTTTTGGCAGCTCTTTCAGGTACAGGCAGGGGTTGAGGGGAGAGGTCTGGGGGAATGGGTTTCTCAGCTTACCTGGTTGAGAGCAGGAAGGGATGCTAATATCAAAGCACACATTGTAAGCAAATTCACCAAGTTACTTTGCCATAAAATGCAACTACTTTGTGGTGGAAGCAAAACAGTAGAGGGGTGTGTGGTCTCAGCATCAACCATATGCCATGGTGTGAAATAGCACTTAACAGAGCATCAGCTGGTTTTCCCTATTATTTTAAGATATGAATTTCATGTCCCTGGGGCAGGCACGCAGTTACAGCCCAAGGATTCCCGTGGGAGCCAGTCAGGATCAGAGCTCAGATCCACAGGACTCAATTCCTGCTGGCTGCTGTTGGGGCAGGCCTCCAGGTCAGCATCACAGCCGTCTGTCTGTCCTGGAGCACTGGTGGCATTGAGGCTTCTGGGTTTGACTTTTGTCCATGGTGTGGTGAACCAGATCAGGGGTCAGATGTGACCTAGAAGAAATACATGGTTATTGCAGTACTGACAGTAGCTGGTTTGACTCATGGAGTTACACCCATTCTCTCCAAAAAGCCTTGAATTTGCAGAAACTGTTAGCCTGAAGCAAAGAAACTGTGAGAGTCTTGCTTGGAAGTGGGCGCTTGTCGTGTCTGAGCAATGATGAAGGAGGGAGGGAGGGAAACCACTGCAAGCTTCCTCTTTTTCTCCTCCCGCAGTCTCTAACCTGTTTACCTTCTGCAGTGGCTCATATTTTCCATAGTCTTGCTTGAGAAGAACAGTGCCATAACAATACTGGGTCCAAATCATTTGGTGTTACTGAGCTGGAGCAGCAGCTGGGTGGATTAGTCATAAATTGTTGTTACCGTAGAAAGACAAGTTGTCATTGTAATTATTTGGGTTTCCTTTTTTCAGTGGGGCTGGGCAGGGAAGTTATCCCTATTTTCAGGGCTTGAGAAAAATGAAGTCTTTGGCAAAATCATGAATGAAACCTGCTTTACTGGGAATGAGTAAGTGGCTGGCTGAAAGCTGGTCTCCAAGTTCATCATGAATGTCCATGTTTGTTAGTCAAAGTATGGGGCTGTGTTTGAAGGAGGAATACATGACACCAGCTGCCTGTAAGAGAAGCAATTTGTGGCTTTATTTGTCATATAGTTTCTTAACTTGCTGCTAATTTTGGGGGTGTGGTGAGCTTGCAGCAAGCAGTGCTTGCTGCTGAGGAAGATGCCAGACCTAATGGTGAGCAAAGGGATGACTTCTTCCATGGCTGCAGAGAAATCTTCAGGGAGCTTCTCCCCTGCCCTCCTGCCTGGGAACCAGCCTCTGCACATCACATGTGACTTGAAAGATCTGGTACAAAACGGCTAAACTGGAGTTTACAAGCAGTATTCTCATCCCCTTGGCTTTTTTTGCCTGCTGGTCTAGGATTTCCATAATTGTGATTGTAAAGATAATATTTTCATTTCATTCATGCAGTGGTTACTTCTTAATGAACTCGACGGTAATGAGCTCTGTAACATTTAAAATAGCTGTATGACTTGAAAAAAAAAGAAAAAAGCAAACCCCCAAACCAAACCCCAGCAATTAAAGGATGTATTTCCACTCCCCAACCTTAATCCTGTGCTATAACATAATCGCAGAGAGTTGCCTGGCTGGTGAGCAGCTGCACAGCGTGGGCTCTCTCTGCATAGCTGCTTGTCCCCGAGCTTGGGTAATAAATGATTTACTGGAGGCTTGGCCCTGGGGGCGCTTAACCCCTTCGAGTCCTGAGGGACCAGCCTGAAAAGTCACTTTGTAAAGGCAGTTGAAAGAAACGATTCCAGGTGCCAAGTGGGGGGGTCTGTTGGGAAAGTTTGCTTTCTTCAGTGTGTGCTGGCTGCGGAAAGGCTCGAACCCAGAAGGTGGGGTGATGGAATTGGGTAGAAACTGTGCTTCTTTAGGGTTTTATTACTCGATGCTTTAATTAATTTTAAAATCACATTTGATTGAGTGTTCTCTCTTGTCTGATTTAGATAAGCAACTCTTCAATTGCTTGGGGTTTTACTTTCTGTAGGGCATTCCCTGGATCTCTAGTGTAATACAGTGTCCTGGGTACAGAGCTCTGCAGCTCTGAATTTTCCCCTTTGGGACTGCAGTACCAAATGACTCCATCATTGCGCTTGCTAGGTGTGTTTGTTGAGACTCTCATGTCTCAGGAGGGATGCTCCTGTAAAACAAGCACGCATCCTGTGTATACCTGAAGTATGTGTTAGAGGAGAATGTTTTCCCAAAGCTCTTTTGAGTTGAAAAGGAGCACTTAAAAAGAAACAATTCTTAATTCTGCGGTGGCAGGTATGGTTGTGCTCAGCCACAGGGAATGGGGTTAGCACAGGTGGTTCTCCAGCAGGGAAACTGGAGTTACTGATGAAGTTATGCTCTTCTGGGAAAAAAAGAAGTGGCAGCTAGGCTTTCCATGGGTAAGCCTGCACTTCTTAATGCTGCAGAGTGGGAGCATTTGCACAAGGGAGCCTAAAGGGAAAAGTGAGCCTGATGCATTCTTCAGGGAGGAAAAGCACATTAAAATGTTGGGCACCAAAGTGGCTCTGACCAAAATGAGAGCGGAGGCGTCTCTTGGATCTTTGTATTGATGCCAGTTCTTCCAACTCCTCCTGTGGCTTTAGCAGTTAAGGTTGGTGCATGCACTCATTAAAATATGCATTGGATAACTACCTCTTTTGCAAATGCTAGGAAATACTTAATATTTGTCAGCACACATGGTGCTTTGGGCCTCATGAATTGGTTTCTACTCCAAGCCTGCATTTCTGGGAGTGCAGTACAAGTGCTGTGGCTTTGGGGGCACAGGGAGAAGCAGGCAGGGCCTTATTGCTCAGCTCTAGGGCTTCAGGGAATATAGATTCTTTTGTTGAAACCATCATTGCTCAGTGTAGTTCCTAAAACACCACAGTCCTGAGGGTCAGGACAACAGTAATGTGGAGAAGGCTAGTTTTGGGATGCATGCTGTAGTCAAGAGTTGTTGGAATCAATAGAAGCATTGCTTTTTCCCACTGCGTGTGCAAAGCTGCAGGCATTTCAGTGCTGATGACAGCTATTCATCATGTATATTCTTTTGTACACTGGGATGAAATATTCCTCATATCCTGTTTTTTCCTTCCCTACCATTCTTCACCTGGTGCTGTGCATCTAGAGGCACTCTTGGTCCGTATAATGAGTCTCTGTTTTCAAAGATAACTAGCAACTTCCATGATGCTTCAGCTGCCCAGCTTGATACCCTTGGGGATTGACTCCACTTCTGTAGAAGATGCTGGTTTTACTTGTCCTTTGAAAACTGGGCTTTTCCAGAAATTCCTAGTTAAGCACCCAAAGTCAATGGTCACTGTTAAAAACATCAGCTGGTTGTCACTGTGAACTTCCCCACAAATTATTGCTATAATGTGTGTTCAAACAACAAAGTGCATTGGAAGGTATAAACTGGATTATACTCATTTGAAGAGGCATCTAGAATGTCTGCTAAGGATTTCTGGAAGTTAATATTTAAGCCTGAGATAAAAGCCTCATGCATACGTGAAGCAGCTGCACCAGAACCTGTTGGAGGACTTAATTTGAGTATAAACATACGTGTGCTTTTGCGTGCATGATGCGCTTTAATTCAAGTCCACTGCTAGTTCTTAACTTCATTAGGATGTAGCTACTTGAACTGAAGATGTGGTCTGTGATTTTTATTTTATTACAGCAGCACGATAGCTCCTTTTGAAATGTTGTTTGGAGTTTACAAATCAGCATCTGAAACACTGCTTGCCATCAGTGATATGTTAAAAGGAAGAAAAGACAAGTGAGGGCAGGGATATATCTTACTACAAGTGAACTGGTTGACAGTCTGGGTGTATTGTAAAATGGGAAATTAATCGCCCTGTGGTGATGACCCGTGGACATTTACAAAAGGCTGGTCTTTATGTTGCACAAATAGATTCTGGAAACAGGAAAGAGGCTTATGACAAGAGGATGAGATCAGTTTGTATAATTAGAGTGAGCTAATAATCCTTTTGCTCTCCGTTTTTCCAGCTTTTACACAGTATCTTTCTGTATTTGAAATTGGGCATATGGACTGTAGCTGCTGTGATCTGAGTTTTGTAGGTTTGTTTTCTATATCTACTAATGGGTGGAGAGATGGGAGCAGGTAAACCAGATGTGCACATTTGAGAGAGATTGCTGCCTTCCTCTGCTAGGCTTGGAGAGCAGCACTGCTTTTATTAACCCTACACACCTTCATCTCTTCCCAGGCTTTGGGAAGGAATTAAGTAATCCATTAAATGATTTTTTAATGGCAATTATGAGATGGAAATGGTGCAAAAGAAGTAACACAGTCCTGAGACTGAAGGTATTTGGCTGGTATTAATCTCTGGAGTAAGGTAGAGCTGTGTAAGGGACTTAAAGCATGGAAAAGGCTTAAGCTAATTTTTTTGTGCATGTGTAAATGCTTTCCTGTACCTTAACTTTCTGCTCAGCTTCATGGGTTTGGGAAGTATGATGGGATACATTTGGGGAGGGAAAGTGGCATGGCTGGGGGGATTGGCTGGAATGCCCGTAACCCCAGAGCAGCCCCTGGGCAGCCCAGCTCCCAGCCCAGGAACTGGTTCCTGCAGCCAGGAAGCTGAGCTACCTTAAGCAAAGCGAGTTAATCTGTATCCAGAGCATTTTATTAAATCATCAGTCAATTAAATTGGTGACGTTCTGTTAGCTTGTGTTGCAGCCATGCTCCTGGCCCTCTGCTGTGGCATAACCTGCAAGTTGCTCAGCTGTAGCAACTCCCTGGCTCCTGTTTGGGCTGTTGTACATGAAGGCCATGGAACTTGAGGTTTCCAAAATCATTCAAACAAACAAAAAAAATAAAATGGGATTTAAGGAAAATTTTGCAATTAAATGTTCTTTTATATTTTTTTTCCAAGGGGGAGAAGGGTATCGGGAAGCTTCTTGGCTGTGAA